AAAATGCAAAGTGAACTCGTATATAGAGCATTTTACTCACGTGGCCAGCAGCTATGCAAATGTATTAACACAAGAAAGCGTTTACATTTCAAGAGTTCAACTTCCACTGCACGGATTGGTTTAGGGACATCACTGTGGCCGTCGCTTGATTGTTTTAGGTAACAATATGGTGGACTTGAAGTCATATGAAAAGGTCTATATTACCGAACTGTGATGAAACGACACCTAGCCAGAAAAACTGTTTCAGATGCATTTAATAGGGACGACTTTTTGCCAATTTTCGATATCTTAATTAGAGTTGATTTCTATCAAAAAAATAGTAATATATGAAACCTTGTTCTAGATCTTCTGCTAGCCATGTTCAAAGCAAATTTAGATCTTGACAAAATCTGGTTGAATGAGTACAAACGAGAACAATTTGATGAGTACATTGTTATCTTTTGTAGTAAAGGTTTGGTCCATAAACCACTCCACCTGTTCCGTCCCACGTGTAAGGTAGTTTGTACTTCCTACGAGCGATGACTGTCTTGAACATGTCCATGTTTTCACACCCTTCAAGCTCGTTAGCGTTAACAGTAGTAGGCCATAACGAATATGGTCTCGGCAAAAGGTTTCTTTTTCTTTTGTTCAAAAAGCATTTTCTTGGATAAAGTCCTCTCTTCCTTTTAGACCATCCAACTATTAAATTGTAGCTAGCTCATTCTCCCTCGATTATAGACAAAAAGAATTAAATGGAATTTGCCTTTAAAGCTTTCAGAGACTACCCGGCCGGATGAGGAAAAGATAAATTTAAATAACAATGAATTAACCGCCACAAACATTCTATTTCCATTTTTGCCATTTTTGCTCGTTATATCATTTAATCCTTTGTAGAAAGGTCAAAAATTCAGAATGGGATTTCTTCCTTTTTTTTCTTTTCACCGTGACTTTAACTATCGAGTGACATCCTGCCCCCCCCCCTCCCCACCCGTCATTCACTCCTCTTCCAAAGTACCACTGTACATCTGAAAAGTTCCAAAGGCAGTGATTTTAGCATTCATGCAGCCTAGAACAAGTTCCCTTGTTTCACATTCCTCAAAAAGAGGAAGATGAGTCAGTTTTAGACAACCGCTCCTCTAAAAAATGACGCTCAGAATGATCTACGGTCGCTCAGGTCCAAGAGGTCATATTTGGCCTTTTAATCCTGGGGCCTTCTAACAACCGGTTGGGGCTGAAAAGCATACGGAAGAGGTGGGAAATCCCGAGGACAAGTCGTTAAATTATGAAATCAAAGATTGAGTCCAGGCCCCGGTTGTTCAAACGTCGGATAGCGCTATCTACCGGATAAATCACTATCCAGCGGATAGCATAATTGATTTCCGTAATACTTATCCGCTGGATAGTGATTTATCCGGTGGATAGAGCTATTCAACGTTTGAACAACCGGGGCCAGGTGATTACTTATATTACCACTGACAGCAGATTTCGTGTGCAGTCGGTCGTGTGGAGTGGAATCATCATGAACTCCCATATACAGATCAACTTGAACTTTCCTAATCACGGCTGTAACTTCTCTTTTTCTTTTCTTTTCTCTCTTTCCTCTCTCTCTCCCTCTTCCTTTCTCCTTATTTGGAACGGCATTTAATAACCTTAAGTCATTCAATCTCCAGGGTTGTTTTTAAACACATCACGTAGAGAATGTCAAATACACAATGTCCCCTGAGAACTTCACCCGTTGTGTCAGACATTCTCGTTACGAACAGAAAAGTCAACAACTATCAAACAAGATGTTTGTTTTAACCACTTTTATTTTATTTATTATCTCAGCGCTAACAGCAGTTTATTAATTAATGACAAAACGAGGGTAGATCACCATAAGCGCGTTTGATCCCATGACCCATTCCCCGGTAAGCCTTAGACCCCGAGTAGACCGAATAGGCTACCGATAAAAGAATAAAGGACAAAAAAATTGCAGTGAAATTCCGCCTCTGGAATTTTGAGTGGTTGATATTATTCGATAACAACTCAACTATACAATGTTGGCCTGTTTGGTGTTTGGAAGTGGACAGTACGTACTTACGAGGTTTACATAAAATGAGCTCTGTTAAATTTGTTATTTAGAAACAGGATAGTGTTATTGTTAGGTTTTGAAGTGTGAGTGTCTGGTCAAATATTGAAGTTAGTTTATTTGGCATTTCTGTTGTTTGATTCTTTAGTAATGGTAAAACTTGCTTTCTACCGCGAACTTCCCCGTTTTCTCATCGTCTTTTTACAGTACAATAGCAAAGCATCCCCTATCAGCATTTTTTCAAACCCATCATCTGCAGATCAAGGAATTAACCTATCGTTCCTTAAAAGTGATAGGATAAGTGACCAAACGCTTATTGTCCCAGGCGTACAGCACTCTTTCACTGGGGTTGTAGTCCACCATGGAGTTGTAGCCGAACTGATTGGTGAACTGAATGTTGGGGTTCCATGAACGTCCAGTTTTGGTGTCGTAAGCAAAGTTGATGGTCGTGGACTTTGAATTATAGTTGTCGATACAGTAAACCACTCCACAGGCCACAAATGCATTTCCCATTGAGCTCATAACTTCTGCAAAATAACATTAAATGGAAACTCGGAGTAAGATAATAAAACACGTATTATGCCCACCTATAGTATAAAAACTCATTCAACTAAGTAACGAAATTGCGAACAAGGATGCACATTTGATGGAGGAAAGGATGATGACGACCGTTTGCTAACTGACAGGTTATAGCAATGGTTTAGTTTACTTATGGTGAATCTAACAAGTTCCAGAAACCCTTTTACATTTCATGACATTTTGTGTTTAGCTTAAGGAGCTCTAATAAGGCGTAAGTCGAGTACCTGAATTTAAGTCCCAAGCGTGGGTTAAGGATCCTTTGTATACATCTATCATTTGCGCTCTTAGCTTGTTGCTGTTTCCACTGTAGCCCCATAAGGCCCACAATCCTTGTTCGTCAACTGCCAGATCAACTTGAGTGTAACCCTGACCCCACTGGTAATAGGTGTTCCTCACTGAACCCGGCAAGCTTATCTGCTTTTCCACACTTTCAGTACGCAAATTGTACTTTACGATATTGTTCGTACCCTCTCTACCACAACAATACAAAAACACCACCATTTGTTAGTATCAGTGGAGAATGTTTCTACCATTTATATAACCAGGGACGGCGGAGCCGGAGGGGCTGGAGGGGCTTTAACCCTCCCAATTTTAAGCAAATAATAAAAATTTAAAAATAAATAAAAAATTACAAACAATTAAAAATCCCATAAAACATAACAAAAGAAAACTAACAGAAGAAAAAACAAAACAAAATGAGCAAAACATTAAGACAAACAGATGTAGGTAAAATTTAAGTGCTCATGCGGCGAGTCCCTTTACGCTTCTTTCAGGACATTTTGAGGGAGGTCCAAGATCTTCAGCCAATCGAGCGACAGTTGATCGACCACGTCATTGTTGTTTGCAAGTTGATTTACGTCAATCCTGCTACAAGTGCAGCAGAGGAAAGGTCCTTCTCGAAAGCCAGATGAATCAAGAGGTGGCTTCAATAAAAAATGTTGCAAGCACGTTTCAACCATCTCGCGATTTTGAACACACATAAACATAGATTTGATAAGCTTTGTTTAGTTTCTGTGGCAAATTCGTTTGTATCCCTGAACGAGAATCATGAAAGGAATGTCGGCAAATTTGCTACTACTGACCTCAGCTGTTGTACTTGTTGTTTTTTCTTGCTGTTACGGTACATGCATTGTTACAGGAAATTTACTCCAGCAAATCAACTCAGTTCTTTTCCCTTAGTATTCTCACTATTCAGCTTGTGAATAAAAACGAAAGACGACTAGGGACGAGTTAGGAAAATCGTATTTGTCAAAATCCGACTTGTCAAAACGTTGCAATTTATTTTATACTTGAAATTTGTCATATGCTGTCAAGATTAGCATCTTAATGTAACACAATTGATTTTACACCACTAATTTTGAACATTCTCCCTCTTGCTACATACGTCGAGCATTTGTAATGAAACAATTTAGTTTACACACTAAGGCCGGAATATACGTAAGGCTGGAATATATCTGATTAAGTTATATATGTATCAAGTAACAAATAAAAAGTAAAACATCTGTCATTTTACTGTTGATCCACGTTTATTTTTTTGATATCTCGTCGAGAATGCTAAAAGTAGCATTTCCGAGCTTCAGGATTTCAAACTTTCCTGCCGGAGAATTCCCCCAGAACCCCTACAAGTTAGCGTCTCCGGCGCTTGCTTGTTAGCGCCCCCTCTCCCCAATTGATGGTTTTCATGGTGACGTCATCAGATTGCAAAGTCAAAAAAGCGAGGTTGTACGAATTCTTATTTACACTAAGTTGAAGATTAATAGGAAATAAATCTTTGTACAAGTTTCCAGCCCCGAAGCATGTTTCATTTCGAAAATACAGCAGTTTGAACTTCCGAGTTTTCACAGTGCGTGACACCAAAATAGGAATGCTATCTCCTTGAAAAAAGTCTCTCCGCTTGATTTTCAGCAGTTTAACCATTTCAAGTATTAGAAGATATGTTTATGCGCAAGTATGCTAGTTCTCGAGTGAAAAGGAGGAGCTTTTATAGAAAAAGTGAACTCCAGATGTTTTTGTTGATTTCCGGCGGCCATATTGGTGGACAGTTTCTGTCCACCAATATGGCGTCTCCATACAAAGCTCTACAAAGGTGTGTGAAATGTTTCGGCAACTAACTCAGAAACTGTGGGCCACAAAGACCTGAGATTTGGACAAATTGTTTATATATTAGTTTTTTATAACATTTCATTTTCTTGGCTTCTTCCACTGGACGGTTTCAAATATATTTTTTTGAGCCGTGTTTATTGCGTGACAGTGAAAACGAAGAATACAAAATACGCTCCGCCGTCCCTGACAGCTGTGCATGTGTAGACATCATGAGTTGCAATTGAGGAAGCCCTATGTTATAAGAGGATAGGTCATGATCTTGATTTCCCTTACTAGGAAATACTACGTCAGTAAACTGGTCTATCACTAATTCTTATTATCAGCGCCCCGGAATTAAGTTTTTTTAAAAAATGGTCCACGCAGTTATGAAAAGACACCTTTGATTAATTTTTTTATATATGCGACCTTTTAGTGATGATTATCTTTTAAACCCTTGTTTTCCTGTTGACGATACTCAATCAGATTAAAACAATATTATAACGAGGAACAAGGGATGGCGCAGTGGTGAGAGCACTCGCCCCCCACCAATGTGGCCCGGGTTCATATCCCGGCGTCGGCGCCATATGTGGGTTGACTTTGTTGTTGGTTCTCTCCTTTGCTCCGAGAGGTGTTTCTCCGGGTACTCCGCTCTTCCCCTCTCCTCAAAAACCAACATTTCCAAATTCCAATTAGACCAGGAATCAGGTAGACGAAGAACCATTTTGTGGATGTGCTACCTCCAAATCATTATTTATTTTATTTAAATAACGTTTATACCTGTTGTAGTAAAGGTAAGGTCCATACACTACTCCTCCTGTTCCGTCCCAGTTATAAGGCAGTATGTACTTCTTACGAAGGATGCCTGCTTTGAACATGGCCATGTTTTCAAACTCTTCAAGCTCGTTTCTCCCGGAGTAATACTCCATAACGAAAATGGTCTCAGCACCCATGATTCCTAGCGGATCTTTCATCCATGCTCCTTGATCATATAGCCTATTATTGTGAATCACAGGCTTACCAATTGACTTGATGTGAGTGCAGCTATCTGCAATATATAGACGATGTGTGACAGATGATAACTTCCTAACAGAATATCAAATAATCAAAAAGGCCAGTTACCTTTACCAAGTGTTCTATTGGAGGTAAAGTGACCGCGGTACGTTCGTCAGAAAAACCGAACCACTAGCTCCTATTTCTGTCTCCTAAGTTTCAATTTCGGGCCTTTCGTCACGATTTTCAGTCACCATCTAATCTAACTTTGAGTATCTTTGTTTGTAATTTTTTTTATCAGCTTTTATTAAAGTGCCTTTAGCAAAGTCGAAGAGTCAAGTGAGTTTCGACCATTCTAAACAAACATTTACATCTTTTAGATACCTATGAACTCATCAAACAATCTATTCTTGAAAGTTGTGTGTTATGTCCGAAGAGTTCACCTTGACAACCTTTTAATAGATGGTATCATAACATTGAATTTTGACAATTGAAAGCACGTTCGGTGCAGAAGGACACAAAGGTGGTCATTAAAAGTTTCCGGCTTTAGTGACAAAGCCGTTTAATTAACATCCACTGTTTGATACACCATTTGCATTTCTTATACCTGGTATTTGGGAAAGTTATACTTCGCGCATGATGTATATCACCGAGGTTGTTTTGCGTAGTTAATGACCAGTGCTAACGTAACCTGGTAGTCGTGAAAAAACTTTATTTGGGCACCGAATAAAGAGAAGACCAAACCTTCTTGAAGAATATAAACATTCTCCTTGGCTTTGTCCAGGTCATGCTGCTCATTTATGATCATCTTTATCAGCTGAAATGTGAAAAGGAGGAACGGATCATAGAGACAGCTGTCATTTAGAATTAACAATTAGACCACAATATAAAGAAACAACTTAACTATTAACTGTACTAGTATTCAGAAAGCAGATGCCCCCAATCTCCCCCCCCCCCCCCCCCCCCCAAAAAAATTTTTCTTCTCCCCCCCCC